AACGAACAAATAGTATTCTAGTGATGTTACTACATTGAGATTTGAGAGACGATCTATGAAGGAAACAATAATGATTGTTTTTAGTGTTGCCTTGTTTCAAGCTAGTGGATAGCATATTTGGGTTATATAGATTTAAATATAAAAGAGAACATGAAAAGTGGGTCAAACTTAATAGAAGGCATACAAGATTACTTTACAACTAAAAGTGATTGCTTCAAGACGATCGATAAGGGAGGTTATTCTGAAATTATGGAAATAGGGGTGTCGAAAAACCCAAACCCGAATTAGATAAATTGGGTCGGGTTTCATAGGGTCTAAAAGAAAATTTGGGTTATTCGGGTTAATCCGACAAACCTAGAAGGTTTCAGGTAAAGTTCTTTGCTTTTATTCAGATTTTGGTTAACCCGAATAACTCGATTAAGAGTGTCTACATACGAAAACAATGTACAATAGTTAATGCATATGGTACATTATATGTTATGTTTTAAAGATTATCTTGAAAAATATGGCAATTGATGCAATGACAGACACATAAATTTACAACAATAATGACACAAAAAAAAAATCGATCAAATATAATAACGTAAATCTTTTTAAAGGTGTGCATGCATTAAAAATAACAAACTAGTAGCTCTCGACTTATTTAAATTTGACATCTACACGTATGTATATTTCTATAATTGTATAATATGTGCATTGTAGGCATATAAATTAGGAGGTAATATTTCCATTTGTCTTTTATTTATTCATTGAAAAAAAAATTGTTTCGACTTTAGACACTTATCATGATTCTTTATTCTTTTTAAATGAATAAATAAATAACATAAATCACTTTCATATGAATATCCCTCACTTTTTGTTCTAATATTTTAATAAACAGTTGTTGAGATAATCTGAGTATTAGAATGGAATTTATATATGAAATGATTCAGTATATATTTTGTGTAATAGGCAGTGTTGGGTAGTCAAAAGCATTGATCATCCCCTCTTCCAAGGCGTGTATCCTCCTTTAAAGGCATTGATACTCGGAATCTACATTTTCACCCAAATGGCAATTGCTTGCTTTTCTGAACTCCACCATTCGATCAAGCTGTTCCACTTCTGTTTTTTTCTCTTCTTCCTTGTGCAGTTGTGCCCTTGTGACCTTGTCCTCTCTTCCACACAAAATAAAGATTGTGCATTTTTTAAAATTGTATTGTTTATGGAGCATAACTTACAACCATACTAGTTGCTCAATTATTTTGGTAGTTGCATAAATCATAATAATACAATTTTTTTGAAAAATATTTATATTTGGGAGACGAAATTGAGTAGTGCATCTGGGACACCTACTAGATCCCCCTGAATTCATGTACATACATATTTGCCCTTTATGTTTTTAACTTAGGCATTCCACTTTCAATCAACTTGTATTTAAAAAAAAAGTTTTAAATCTGTGATATTACTTTTGTAGAACCCTTTATATCGACTCATGAATAATTAGAACAATGCAAAAAAGTGTCGAATTTTGTCTTAAATACATGGAATGAGGGACATATAACATATTAAGCCAAACGAGGAAAAAAATGGCTAAAAGATACATTCTACAGGATGCATACGACATATACCATGGAAGCGTAGGTGATTTTGATTGTAAAATGCAATGATGTGACTCTTTGTCTTTTAAAGTAATATGTAAAAAGTAATGAATTGTTTTTAAATAGTTATATATATATATATATATATATATATATATATATATATATATATATATATATATATATATATATATATATATACACAAGTCCCAATATTTTCATCGATTTGACAAGAAAGTCCTAAACTTTATTTTTTTGACAGTAAAGTTCAAATTACCGGCAGTTTTTGACACTTTTACCCTTTTTTTCCGGTTAGCCGGTAATTAGTACTTTTTTGTCAAAAAATAAAGTTTAGGACTTTCTTGTCAAATCGTCAATTAAGACTTTACTGTCAAAAAAATAAAGTTCAGGACTTTCTTGTCAAATCGTTGAAAATATTAGGACTTTAGTGTATATATCTTTTTTTTGTTAGAAATTTAATGGTATGATACTTTTTAAGTATAAGAGTTATTGAAACATTCTCTAGTCAGCTAGATACTATTTAAATCCTTAACGTTTGCTTCTTGTTAAATCGTTTTTTTTAATCTCAACAAACCGATATTGAAAAAAAGGGCAATTTCGCTTTTTTCGGTTTCTTATTTCTCTATTTTTGGGACTACAAAAAGTTAACACAACTCTGGTTCTTTCTTTCTTTATTGATTATCTCTGTTTTTTCAATGTCGGTTTATTGAGATTAGAAAAACGATTTAACAAGAAGCAAACGTTAAGAATTTCAATAGGATCTAGCTGACTAGAGAAGGTTTCAATAACTCTTATGCTTAAAGAGTATCATATCATTAAATTTCTAACAAAATAAAAAGGATATATACACTAAAGTCCCAATATTTTCAACGATTTGACAAGAAAGTTCAGAACTTTATTATTTTGACAGTAAAGTCCTAATTGACGATTTGACAAGAAAGTCCTAAACTTTATTTTTTTGACAAAAAAGTCCTAATTACCGGCTAACCGGAAAAAAGGGTAAAAGTGTCAAAAATTGCAGGTAATTTGGACTTTACTGTCAAAAAAATAAAGTTTAGGATTTTATTGTCAAATTGATGAAAATATTGAGACTTTAGTGTATATATATATATATATATATATATATATATATATATATATATATATATATATATATATATATATATATATATATATATATATATATATATATATATTAGCCGTTACCCGCGCTAAGCGCCGGGCAGCAAAAAGTTTCTTTCGGAAGATAGTATTAATGTGATGATTAGTTTCCTTTAGACGTGAGCTATTCATTGCGGCCATTTGGTAGACTATTTTGTGTCGAATAGTTCATTTCAACAGATAGTTTCTTGCTGGGTGCATAGTCATACAATACGACAAAAGTTGAGTCTACATCTCAAATAATTCATCTAATAGTTCATACTTGATTTTACAATATATAAATAACAACAATCTACAACCATGTAGTTTTGTACATTTATAACATGTCCAATATATAAACTACACCAATCTGCAATCATGTTGCTTCATCTGCTAGCCCTGCATTAAACATCAAATAAGCATCTAAGATACATATTTGAAGAAATTGTAAAATAATAAGTTGTTGATTGTACCTTGTTAATCACATAACACTTCTTTGTACACAACGTTTGATGTGTAGATTCCATCATTATCAAACGTTTTTTCCAGCTTTACTAATACCTTGGTATTGACACGTGATATTCCTCTGGACAACGCCACATAAAGCTGGCCATGTGAGAATACCGATTCTGGTAGATAAACACCTACATTTGGAATTGGTTGTCATTGAGCTTTGTTGATTGTCATAGAGAAACTAAGCTGAATTGGAAACTGATTTCTCTTAAGTTTGAATGGGAAAATCTCATCGTCAGACGGACATAGAGGAATTCTTGGTAAAAACACTCTTTTTCCAGCATGTTGGCCAACAGCTATCTCTGCATCAATGACATTTTGTTGGAAAACTCGACATATCAATCTGGTGCCATTACATAACCCATTTGAAGGATCGATATTTCGCAAAAGTATTACAGGGCACCCAGTTTTTAACCGAAGATAATGAGGGGGTACACCACTAACATTTAGCGAGTTCAAATATTCCATCGGATATAAGTTATTTTTGTCATCTTCCGCTTCATCAAAACTATAGTAAACTTTTTGCTCGCCAGAAAATCGTTCGATCAACTTATTATTAATCTCATCAACACTTTCATTTTTAGTTGACAATATCGCCCTTGAAATGATAAATTTTGAATCGGCGACGTTGGATTGCAAAGAAGGAAATATTGCATCAATCAGAGCGTCCACTGATTTAGTTTTATCAGTGTATGGAATGGACATGTTATCAGGTATACGAATATAGGACTCGTCCAATGTTTCCTCCTTTCCATCACCGACTCGTAATAAAAAATCAGAAAACCGTGGGTCATTTACCGCTCTCATGTTGATATTTAATCGAAGCCTTTTAACTGAAGCCCATAGAGGTGAGATTCATAAGCTAGAGTCGACAATTTGTGCTCGAGTGCCACGTCTCACAACCGGCAACACTTGTCTAAAGTCACCTCCCATAACCATTATCTTTCCACCGAAAGGGAGCTTCTCATATGTGATGTCTTGCATTGTCCGATCAACTGCTTCTACTGCCTGCCTCTTAGCCATTGCTGCTTCGTCCCATATGATTACCTTTGCCTTGCGAAGTATCTGAGCCTTCCCGCTTTGTTTAGTGATCTTGCACATCGATTTATTATCAAGATTGAGGGAAATTCCAAATCGTGAATGAGCTGTTCTCCCTCCTGGCATGTTGTTAGCCGCAACACCTGACGTGGCAGTTGCAAGTGCAATAAGACCACGGGCACGAATATTGGCCAACAAAGCTTTGTACAAAAATGTCTTTCCAGTTCCACCGGGACCATCTATGAAGAACACACCCGTAATATTTTGATCCACATGACTCATTATCTCATCATATGCAAACTTCTGGTCTGGATTGAGAGAGTCTCGCGCATGTAAGTCTTCATATTCCACATTTATAGAGTATTCTTCTTGCACCTCACGATGACCTCTTGATTGTAAATCGATGTGTGCACTGACATTTGGAAGGTCGTAATCACTAAGCTTTTTACTCATAGATTCTAGGAAGACTCTAATGTCGATGAGGATCATATTTTGCACTCGTTCGGCACATCCATATTATTTCCTATAATCTTCATAAAGAGAATCATAGTGGTCGTCCCATAACTTGCAAACATTTCCTGATTCACAAAAAATCAGCATCGTCGTAAATAACCTTCTAAGTGCGCTGGCAAATTGAAATAAGGAAGCCTCTACAAGACACTGTGACAAATTATCATCGGTCTCTATTAAACCTCTTTCAAGAGCTGCTTTTCAAAATGTAGGGTGTAATACACCATTGGCTGTATATAAATCTTCAAAGCAGGTAGGCCCAGTAATATGACATAAAAGCAGGCGTAGGTAGTATCTCTCTCCTTCAGCTGGATTAACATAAACAAGTCGACCAATCATTGATTTATGTTCCCTGGTCCTCCAACAATGGTTGCTCCGATTCCATGTAAAATGTTTGGGAAAATCCTTATACAAATATTTTCTCGCATTGGAATCTTCTTTATTCTTCTTGAAAAATGCCGTCAACATTGAATTTTTTTCTTTCTCCCTATCAACAATGTCTTCCATTCTGTCACCGTCTTTGAACCTAACCAACTGTTGATTCGGGAGATGTATTTGCAAGGCCAACACACAAGGGTGAATTTTTGAAAGAGGAAAGCTAAAAACTCGCCATAATGCCTCAGGAGGGGACACATAATGTGCATCTTGAAACTTTCGTATCTCATTAATAACAACATTTTCTTGGTCTTTATCAATATGGATAACTTGTTTGTCATGGCCCTTATAAACATATTTGAAGAGGTACTTCACAGACTTTATACTCGAACAAACCTCAACGTTGATATGACAATTAAACATCATTAACAACTTTGGGTTGTATGGAGCCACCCATCTGTTATCCAATGTTGTATTTCTTATAGTCACCTCAATTCCATTATTTCTCCTTCTATATAATGGATATGAGTCCTCTCCTTGTGATGTCTTTTCATTGAATTGCCTAGGATATATCTGAAACGACATATTTTTGGCACACCCTGCATACATGGACTTTTTTCTTGTAAGCTACCACAAGGACCGTGCATCATGTGACTTTTGACAAGATCATGCATTTCAGGAAACCTTATTGGGTCGGGAATTTCCGCACACACAAGTTTGTCATAATCGCCTGGATTATTCATCTTATATCCAGGTGTCATTATTAAGAGGAAATGTGCATGTAGCAATCCACGCTTTTGAAACTCTATCACATACACATATGACCCCACCACACCGATTATATGTCTCTGGAATAACTGTACCTTGAGATCCTCTAACTTAGCATGAAAAACTCTTGCAACAAGGTCTGGTCGATCTTGAGCTGACTGTCCAGGCAATAACTCATCATCGATTTCTTTCCATTTTGGGTTGCACGTCATTGTAAGAAATATATCAGGCCTCCCATCATCTTGAACTAAAGCCATGGCATCCAGAAATCTTCGACGCATGTCACGTGGACCTCCAATGAAACTTGCAGGTAACACAACTCTCTGTCCAACCGTACTTGGTTGAGCCTCACCAGCGTTGAAGCAATCAACAACACCCTGGTATAAATCGGCTCTAATTTTGGTTTGGTTCTTTTCAACAAAAACAAAACGTGTAGTCTCAATCTTTATATAGGTATCTACTGCAAACTGCTGGAACAATCTCCCTCCCATCAAAATCACATTATCATTCGACCATATCTGGAACTTGTAACAATAGTACTCCCACATACTTACAGTATTTCTGCCTTTTTTTGAAGTAGATCCTGTGATATCATAATTTATGTGAAAAATATAAATTTAATATCCAAATATTTAAGGCAATATCTGTTACATGTTTTAAATATGTAAAAGAATGTTAAAGGCGTACCTTCTGAACCTTCATCATTGTCTTCATTGTCACTATGAATCTCATCCATGGCGACCCCATATCTTGGTATTTTAGGATGTCATCCAGACTCACCATTGGGAAAGAATAAAGGATACGACAAAGGATCATAACAACCAAAGTGAGGTTGAATTTCAGTACTATAGTTAGACCTCCCATAGACAATAATACTTCTTTTATATGCAGTGATGTTGTCATTTCCTTCAACTCAAATACCAGCAACCTATGCAAAGGTGTAGTTCAATATGGTGATTAATATGATATGTATAATAATAAATATGACACATTTAATTTTAAAATGAATAAAGATAAATGTTAATATTCACACCTCAGATGTGGTCGGCTTATTGTACACCCTTTGGTCAAGTTCCACCGATGCATTCAAAGTCACTCTATAATTATCAAGCGGTCCTAGATCAGAAAGCCGTTTAAATGTTCTAACGTACGGATTCGAAGCTAGAATACGTGTTAGTTTTTGGATGATTCTTCTATCAACATTCTTCCAGGAGGATCTCTGTGATATTTCAGCTTCACCGTCATAAAAAGACAACTGTAAATACCTCGATTTTCCATCCCTTGAAATTAACTGATCGATATTATGATAGAGTGTTCTGTGCGCACAAAAAGTGTAAACTCCAGAAGTCATATTGGCCAATTCTTTATCCACCTTTACACCCAGTGATGCGAAAGAAAAGTTTGAGTTATACGCCCTTATATTGTACCTGAAGCTTTCTTCTAGCTGCTCTTGCCTTGTGAAGAGTTGGTGCAATTCTGTGGGAATAGGGAAATATGCCAGTTTTGTCTTCCCACTCATGCAACAAAAGGTAGGGAATTCATATTGTAGTCGCTTTGCTCCACAATAAACACAAGGGTTTTAAGCCTTTAATATACGATGTTCCATACGGATATTTTCATAAACAAAATCATATGGATCCTCCTGAAAGGCGTATACTCTTCTTTTTGTCATCATAGTTCGTTCCTTTCTTCGTTGATAATATTTTTTATTATAAGTACTCGTCCTCTGAGCAGCACTTATAACACTCACAGAGGAATCTTCGTTGATATTTGTTTCGTTTGTCTCCATTGTAGGGCAACTTGTGAGTGTTGTAGGTTGACTACATCCTTTACCGTTAGCTATCCTTCTCATTTCGTTTTTCTCCTTTTTTCGTGCATAATAGTTTCTATTGTATATTTTTCGATTTTCTACAAATATATTATTTGGATAAATAGTCATATATTATAAATGCAAATATATACTTATATAAACGACATACCTTTTTCTATATCTATCGGGTTTTGGGAATCATCATAGTTTTCGTTTCCCTTATCTACGGTCCTCATTGAACACTATAATGGAAATGTTAAGAATAAGCACATATTATATCATCAAGAATGTAGCATTTTGTAATGTAGACCATGTGATTTAGTAGTCATGTATGTGTGTGTTTCAGAAAGCAACACAACCCTTAATAAATAACCAACTATACTAAAAACTTGTAATCCAAAAACACAATAGAAAAATAAACCACACATGAAAATTTCCATAGATATCCAAAAATTATTATTTATCAATTCATAAGTCAACACAAGAAAAATAAACCACACATGAAAAAATTCACCACAATATGTCTAACATTAATGTAGATCAACTATAAAAGCAACGCACTCATAAAAGTTGTCAAAACTTGAAAAAAAAAACACCACCAAATGTCTCACACGGAATTAAAAATTCTTCTAGGCATATTTATGATGTTAAATGCTTCTGGCATCCTCGGTTGGAACTCTACGTTGCTTAGTTTGGTTGATATCAAAATGTTCACTGAAAATAAGATAAAAACTATTAAAATGTATTGATTTAGTTATTTTAATATCACTACAAATATTATAATTTTCTAGAAAAAGCTTACTTGAATCCAAATGAACCAATTTCACCCGAGAAACAAATATTATATATTTTCTCTTTATCGCATAGACAGTCTTCACAATCTGATGGCGTGTTCGGTCGGTTATATATAGTTTCATCTTTATTATACTCCCCCTATTTATAATCAAATATTTCCAAAGTCACCTAATTTTGTTTTAGTGTAATAATAATAATAATAATAATAATAATAATAATAATAATAATAAACACTTACGGCCCATCTTGGAGATATAAAGTGAACGAAGTTAACGTCAGTACACCATAGTAACGGGAATAGTTTCGCTTCCCTTTGATGATTTTTCCAACAATATCTAAAAATAGCGATAATTAAAAGGACAACTTGTTATTATTTTAAAAACTTTAGAATGCTAAATATATATATAAGTTATTAAATTTACCAATCATCATTTTTCTCTCTGTCCGATCCTCTACTAAACTTTTATTGAGGGAACCAATGGAAAAACCAGAAACCATGATATGATAGCATCGGCCAAACGATTAAACCGTGTGTTATTGCTGATCTTAATCATCAAATCGCCACGTAATAAACTGTATTCTTGATATCTCGGATACTCAGCATAGGTTGGTTCGATTTGGAAATGGTTTAAAGAAAACACACCACCCAATAGATTCCCCCCATAAATAAAACGCATCATTTGTTGTGGAACAACTGCTAACAATTTCTCTCTCTAATAGAAAATGTAATATTTTTATAAACAAAATACTTATGATAAATTATGAAAATGAAAATAAGATATAAATAGTTTTTTAAACATACATTTTGATCAATGAGAACCATGAAGAGTTTGTTTGCTCTTGAGTCCCTCCAAATGAAATCAACACGAACGGGTGTCAAAACATACCACAAATGGTAGTTTAGTAGCAATGAAAATGCATCAACGTAAATTTGACCATTCATGATTCTACAAAACGAAAGTCAGATGTGATTGATGTAGAATTGATTTACATCGTTATTTATATTAAAAACTATGTCGATTTGAGATGCCCAAAGTATAATAACATATGTATCGTAAATTTGAAATATCCAAGCAATAAGAGTTTTTATTACATGATTTATTTATTAAATATCACAGAAAACCTAAAGCATATATTAATAACAAATATTAATAAGATTTATTTGATCTGAATTGTAAGATTTAAAAAGTTTAATAACAAATATTTAAGTAAATAATGGATGTTACAAAAAGTCAAAAACAAATTTTGAAGACCGTTGGATAAAACTGCTTTAAATACTAAAAAAGATAGGAGTCTGAACTTTGAAACTCTGAATTCTGTTCGCAAATAAACCGAGAGAAAAAGGACCGCTTATTTTTAATAAGGCCCAATATTGTTTATACTTTTGGGCCATGAGAATGTTATATGACTTCTGAAGACATTAAAATAAAGCCCAATTCATAGTAGCATCCACTTATTTTTAATAAGGCCCAATATGTTTTCAGAGTCGAGACCGATATCATGTTTTTTGCTCTATCGCTCTAAAATCTAAATAAATATATAGCATATAATATTGAATTAATTAAAAACATCGCTAAAACATAATTTAACAAGATGATAAGATAATTTGATAAAAAAAATACTATTATTTATATTTTTTAATTAATCAATGTCATATCATTATGTCATCTCACCAATTATTTTTAGATAACTAATTGGATTTAATATTAAATAATTTGGATATTCATTGTTTTAACATCTTTTTGAATTAAATCCTATGATTTAATGTTGAATGGTTAAGAATTTAAGATAATCTCTTCATATCTGTTGTTTAAATAATTTAATATACTCTCTTCAATTACCTTTTTTTTTTCTTCATAAAACAATATATGTAATTTCATGAATCATAATGAATCTTGTGAATACTGTATCATTTATCAATAATTAAACATTAAATTTTCAAACAACTTAAATTATAACAGCCTAATTTTCAACTACCACAACAATATATTGAATTGATAATCAAACAAACAAGCATGATGCAAACAACAAAATCTAAACCTCATCCTGGATGCAATTTTTAAAAAACAATCTTCACATGGTTACACCAAATTCGATCTAGTAAAGTAGAAAATGAAGAATTGTATTTGAGACATAAGAATTTTATCATTTCAAACAGATAGAAGAAGTAAAGAAACCTGAATTCGTTAAACAGATAGAAGAAGTAAATTTATCACTTTAGACAAAAGACAGAAGAAGATTCATCAAACAGATAGAAGAAGTAAAGAAACCTGAATTCGTGTAACGAAATGTAATGCAATGCAATGAAGTAATCTTCTAGTTCCCGTTTCCTTGTTGGTGAATTGTGCTGTGAAAGTAAAAATTAAGAACATAATATATAAGATTTATAGACGGAATAATGTATCATATGATGTATTTTCAGATATTACTAACCGTCAAAAGTCATACCAAAAATATTTTAAATCATACCATAAATACTAAATGTCAAAAATCATACCAAAAATATTTTAAATCATACCATAAATACTAAATGTCAAAAATCATACCAAAAATATTTTAAATCATACCATAAATACTAAATGTCAAAAATCATACCAAAAATATTTTAAATCATACCATAAATACTAACTGTCAAAAATCATACCAAAAATACTTTAAATCATACCATAAATACTAACTGTCAAAAATATACCAAAATTAATTACCGTATTTTACTTTGAAGATTCAAAGTATAATGTCCTAATATGAAAAAAACAAATGTAACAATTACAAATAGCAACATATTATATTGAATATATTAATTAACAAAAACTAATAAGATTCTTGTATTTTTGGATATTGAATAGTTATTTTTATCATTTTAATTTTCAATAGTAAAGATAATATTATCTGATAAAGCGATTTGGGAGTTTGTATGGATTTAACTAAATATTACCTGTTGGATATTTAACCCAAATCGACTAATTTATAAGTTAATAGGTCAATATTGCCTCATCAAATAGAATATGAAAAAAAAAAAAAAAAGTTTGACTTACATCTAAATTTGATTGGATTTCTGCATTGGCTTCTGGAGCTGGAACTGCACGGCTAACCCGTTCACGTGTCCTTGTTCATCTATTTCCATCCACATC